TAAACTTTACATTTCGTTAAGTTTGAATGTAAGAGGAAGATCAGCATTTCATTTTATTTTAACTGTTTTTATATACAATACTAATTTACATTATTTTGTTTAAGTAGGTACTAAGCTTTGAATATACAGGGTGCGGCAAAAAAACCGATCTATTTTCTTCATTGCACTGTTTAGTGACAGACCGTCTCAGGGTGGTGGGAGTATGCTCGTTGGAAAGCCTATACGATGCCATTTTTTGAAGTCATAGAGCAGTGGTCGTATGATCTATGTGCGGTTGTTATTGTTCATTATAATTAAACTGCACATTTTTTATTTGAAGTGCTTACTAAAGTCAAAAGGCAACGTTGAAGCACTTCAAATAAAAAATATGCGATATAATTATAACAGAGAAAAAATTATTACGTGTTGTTATGAGAGGGTTTTCAAATTGACTGACTGAACAGTTATTGAGTCGTTTAAAAAAAGTTATGATTCAGTTATTGCAACTCAGAAGCAGTTTCATGCTTTTATTTTATTAGGTCAACATGGAGAGGATCTGTCGTGATTATCTGTATGGATAATTAACTAAATGAAACAGATTATTATTCTAATCAATCTTTAGGAAAATGACCTCAAAATTTGTGTAACTGAGCGGTCAGACATTTTCAAAGCAACCGCTTGTTTTTTGGCGGGCCTACGAAAACTGTTTTCCACGGCAGCACAAACTCTACCGAATGTTATTTCATTTGTCTGGCGTCCGATCTGACTTTGTACAGCCTGTCAGATTCCTTTTCAACTCAAAAGCCGTTATTCTAAAGTTAGTAGCCCACCGCATGTCTCCATGTCGCCTTAATCGAAAGAGTGCAAGAAACTGCCACTGAGTTGCAATGAATGAATAATGAATTCAATACTTTTTAAAAACGACTCCATAACAACTGCACGTGGCTCAGGCAACCACTGCTTTATGACTACGAAAAATGGCATTGTGTAGGCTTTCCAACGAGCATCAATACCTCTTTTTCTGATCATAATGCTCTGCTGTTGTCTCTACCCAACAAACTGAATAGACAGTTCTGCACCAAAAGAATAAAAATTAGAATGTGCCCTGAAGAGAACAACATTCTACTTGTAAATAAATGACTTAAGCTTATGTTGTCAGATATGCCTCCCCTTATTTCACTGGATGATTGTTACAATTTTTTCTTGGAAAATTTTTTTGTATGAATGAATTTTTCCCTATTAAATATTAAGGTAAAAAATAAGAAAAAAAAAAATGGATTACACAGGGTATTAAGATATCAGCAGCAAAGAAGAGGCAATTACACTGGCAAGCAAAGTATAACCTAAGTATAGAATTTCACCAATATGTAAAAAATTATAAAAAAGTGTTTAAGTCAGTTGTAAAAGCAGCAAAAATAGCATCTAATGATAATTACATTTTTGAGTCCAAAAACAAATCAAGAGCTACATGGGCTGTTGCTAAAAGAGAAATGGGTACTCATTGTAGTAAAATTAGTGAAACTATTACCTTAAAAATAAACAATAAAATAATTTCAAATCCTCAAAAAATCACTCAAAAGTTTTAACAATCATTTTATTAACACTGTTGCCTTATTAAAAGTCCCTAAAGCTGATTTATCTTTTGTCAAAGACAGCCCTTCATGTAAGACAAAATATTTAAGTGAATTTTCACCTGTGTCAGGGGAAGAGGTAGCTAAAATTATCTTAGGTCTAAATAACACAAAATCTTGTGGATGGGATGACATTCCAGTTCATTTATTAAAATTGTCTGTTCAAGTGATAAGCCCTATTTTAACTATTATTTTTAATCTAGCTATTAGAACTTGTACCTTTCCGACTAAGCTGAAGCTGTCGGAAATAAAACCTATTTTTAAAAAAGGAATAAAAAATGACATTCAAAATTTCCGACCTATATCTTTACTTAGTAATATATCAAAGATTTTTGAAAAAGCTCTTCATAATAGAATTGTTTATTTTCTTGAAAGTAATAATCTGCTTGGGGCTGAACAGTTTGGGTTTAGGAAAAATAGAAGTACTGAATTAGCTTTGATAAATTTTGTGAGCGATGCAGCGAGGGCCTTGGATGGGTCACAGATTTTCTGTGACCTGTCCAGGGCTTTTGACTGTGTGGATCATGAGATGCTGATTAAAAAAATTGCCAGTATTGGTATTGAGGAGTCGGCTCTTAAGCTATTAACATCATATCTTTTGGGGAGAAAGCAGAAAAACAGTTATCAGTGAGAGGGCAACCCATTTTTACTCGGACTGGGCTACAGTAAAATTTGGCCTCCCTCAAGGATCCATTTTAGGACCCACACTCTTTATTATTTATATAAATGACCTACCAGCACATATTTCCAAAAGGTTGGTACTATTTGCTGATGATACAAGTGTAACAGTTCAGGAAAAAAACCTGTCTGCATTAGAAAACACTTTGACATTAACACTAAAAGATCTGAAGAAATGGTTTGAGAGTGAAAATTTAAAAACGTACGTTTTCAGGAAAAGCACTTTGCAATTTTTTCCCCTTTTTTCAAAACTTTTATTATTCTTTTTATTTCATTAACATTTGAAGTTTCATAAAATGTCCATGGTAACGCTGTCCATGTTTGGTAGTTTTTTTTTTTTCAAAGAGCATCTTTAGTGGAAAAACACAAAATCCTGTCACGACCATAACGGACGTTTAAATGAATATTAAAAATAGTTAATATTATTTTTATAACTATGTTTTGCTATAAACTAATTTACTTTTATGACCATTAAACAATAAAAAGGTCACTGAGCTTTTGGTATATTTGGTCTTTCTAGAAAAAAATAAAAAAACTCAAAAAATAGAAAAAAAGCCGATAAAATCTTTTTAAGTTTGTATAACTCCGAAAAAACTTACCTGAGACCCGAAAAATCGTTATGTTTGTATAGAGGTGTGCTCCTTTTGTGTATAAAACATTGAAATATGACGATATTTTAATTTTTTGAAATTTTTATGATAGAAATCATGAACGTGATGGTCAGGGACAAGCGGTACGGTCGTGAATTGTCTGGAATAATCTAAATCTTTCTAAACAATCCTTCAATTATACTGTTAGTTTCAATAAAACTATGTGTTTCAATTGAACTAAACTGTTCAATTTACAATTATATTAAAGTTATTGTCACGACCAAACACACTATAATCCATAAGGCTGGATTGGTCGTGAAAAAATCTGCGATGGTCGTGAAACTTTGGTCGTGAAATTACGTGTTATTTGGCTCTGTTCTGGCGGTAGCCCTGCACCTCATGTTCGAGGATACAAAGTGGACTTCTAGGTTAATCTAGCAATAGAAATATCTTATAAACAAAAATTAACACTATGTATACTTCATCGAATGACTACGTACGGTCATGGACACACCAAAATTACAAAAAACACAAACTTACCTTTATTAATCTTGTAATTCCTCCTTTCAACTCGAAACGACCGGCACTACAATCCTGACGTACACCCCGAACTAGTCTCTAAAACCAACTGACTCCATCGACGCCAGGCTTGCCACTGTCGTGCTCCAAAGTCAAAAATTTTTCTCAAATGGTCGTGACGCCAAATCGAGGGACAGACTTATTTTGTCATGGTAGTCAGTTTGCAATGACAATAAAATTATAATATGCTCCTTTTTAGTAAGTTTAATAACCATTGATGACATAAAAATATGGCTTTATATATTTCGGCATGAATAATTAGTCTAAAAACAGCGTGAAAGTTGGAAAATGTACCCTAGGGACACGTCATGGTCGTGAATTTCGAGACTTTAAAAATACCTAGAACCTATTTAAAACCAAATAAATGTGTGTAACATGTTGCCCTCGTCCCAAAAAATATTAAAACACATAATAATAAACCAGTATCTACGAGTATCTTTTAATCCAGTATCTACGAAGTAAAAGGCCAGGGACATGAAAACGTACCTACGTTTTTAAATTTTCACTCTTGAATCAAATGGACTTTTACTAAATGAATATAAATCTAACATTATGCAATTCCACATCAGAATTAACAATAACCACAAACTCAATGGAATGGATTTTAATATCACTGATAAATATAAATTTCTTGGGATTAATATAGATCAAAGTTTCAATTGAAAATCACACATTCAATATTTGGTTAGTAAGTTGACTTCTTTTAGGTTTGCAATTAAATGTATTCAAAATTCAGTGTCACTAGCAACATTAAAAATTATTTATTATGCTTATATACACTCTCTGCTTCGTTAAGGAATTGTTCTGTGGGGAAACTCAGGGGATATTAGCAAAGTTTTTAAAGTCCAAAAAAGTATTATTAGAGTGATGATAGTGGCAGAATATGGATCAAGCTGTCGTCGTTCTTTTAAGGAATTAAAAATAATGCCATTGACTTCTTTGTACATCTATGCAACAGTAAATTTTTTTCATTTAAATAATACACTTTTTGATGAATTTTAGACCCACTCATAGTTATAATACCCAAAACCCAAATCTGCTAAATTATCCAATTCATAAACACTCTCATTTTGAAAAAAACCCCATCTATATGGGGATTTGTCTATATAATAAGATCCCCTCAAAAATAAAATTCTATACACCACAAAAATTTAAAATTGGAACTAAATCATTATTGGTGGAGAAATCATATTACTTCCTGGCAGATTTCCTAAATGACCGTGACATTAATTGACCATTAGTTTATGTAAAATATGACACAGAATTTTTTTAGTTGTTTTTTTCTCTGATATTGCTTCAAGATTTCATTTAAATTTGTCTTTTTTCTAACTTGTTTGAATTGGTAACATTCTCTCAATTGTGCTGTTCTTGTTGTATTTTGTTGTAACTTTTTACTTTTAGTTTTTATAACTTATTAATTGACCATGCATCTGTTCACCATTGCCTTTGTAATGAAGAATGTTTTAGGCAATAAAATACTTATGACTTATGACTTAAAAAGGTGCATAAAACAATTGGTGAAATAACATACTAGATATACTGATAAAACTGTAATTCTCTTTCACATTGAATATGTATAAAACTTTGTGTTATTTAAATGAACATTGTGTCTTGTTTATACAGAAAACAGAAAATTGAAAGCTAAGCAACATTGTTCAAGGATTAAATACTATTACAAACTTATTTGTGTCGGCTACTTTCTGACAAATTATTACATACATTTTTTTAGTTTTACTCAACACCAACAAGAGTCATAGAACTTACTAAATTATTTTTTTAGATCTTGTAAAAATACTTAAACGAAAATTATATGTAGACTATTTCTCACTATTGGGAATCTTAAAATTTATAAAAATTCCAGGCTAATAGTGTAAGGCAGTAATGGTGCTCATCAGCTTGTATTTCAGCGAATTTCCCTATCGGGAAGTAGTAGCAATTACCGCAGGTGGCTCAGTAAGATCTACACCTGGGACCGATTCACTTTTTAATTATGATGTTCATTTAGAAGGCCAAAAACACTATTTATTCACATATTTTTTGAGTGTGTCGGTGAAGAAGATAACTGAGTAATTTTGGTTCTATTTTGATTAAATTTGGCTTGAAGGTGTAGGGCGGAATAAACTCAAATGAGTTCACTAACCAGCAAAATTGGAGTATTATAGAATTTACAAAAATAGGTTTTCTCAAATTATTATCCTTAAAACATTATGCTAGATTTTAACTACAACTATCATGTAGATAATAAAAAATCAAATACTTTTGTACATTGAAGAGTTGTGCAATTTAAGGTTAAACAGAAAATTTCAAAAAACTGTTCATTCCCATGTTATTCTTTTGAAGATAAATAAAACTGTTGTAGTTTGCCTGCTTATGGATGCATGTCAATCGAATTTGGCTTTTTCTTTATTTCATCCTACACTATTAACATTTGGCCAAAAAACACTTTTTACCTTCCCCATAGCAGCATACCTAAGTAATCATTATATTTAATGTTATTTAAATGGGCAATAAATATGTCTTGTTTATGGAAATATTTTAGTAAAAAGCCGATCAAAATAGTTTGAATTCTATTCTATTCTTCACTTTGTCTCCAGGATTTCTACGGCAGGGGTTTTTATTTTCAAACAGAACATTCAACCTTGACTGACTGAGATTACACACAAGGCTCTCATCCACAATAGATGGAACTGAAGACAACCCAGTCAAGTGCCTTTCATATCAGTCCTAGCAACAGAACAAGATGGTCGACCTTTAGACGACCCAAGCCCAGCGGATTATGGTAATGGCAACGCGGGTTCTCAGTTTATGCAAATCATAAAATAGCGTTTCAACTTTTGTATATGCTGGGAAGATATTGCCAGGGAACACATGATTCCATTGTTCCCAACATAACACTTGGTACATAACATAACATAACTTCATTTTGTGGTAGCACAGTTTTTTAACGATTGCTTGGCATCGTGTCTCGTCCCCCTTTTGCAGTGGTCCTGCCAGCCATCATGAATCTACTGTTTGAACAAAACACTGATAAGCACCATTACATGTGCTTGGAACTCCAATGCAAAAGCAGCAGAACAATTTTTAATCTTAAACTTAAGTTACTAAGTAATGTATTTGGCCAGATTTACATTAATGCATTGATCCTTAATATAAGAAGAAACAAGTTCATCTTCTTTCCCTAATTCAAAGGTGAAGGTTTGTGCATACCACAATTTTATGGTATGTCAAAGTAAATTATTGATAATCAATGTACCCCAAGGGCTAAATTGAACTTCCATGTGAAATTTGATATTGTTTGTACTTTATTTTCCATTTCCAAGTCACCTCACATTTCCAGTTGTCTGTTAGTTGGGCTTTGAAAGAGAGTGATCTATGACTTGCTTGGCCTTGCATGTTATCTCGTCCCCCTTTCACAGTGGCTCAGTCAGCCATTTTGAATCTGGTGTTAAAAAAAAATTATAAGCACCATTACATGTGCCTGGAACTTCAATTGCAAAAGCAGCAGAATAATTTTTATTTTAAAACTTCATTTTCGTTTCATTATTTTTACAAAATACGAGTTTATTATTGAATTTTTGTATTCAAACAACAAACCATAACAACTGCGGTAAAAAATAACAATTAATATTTATACAACCAATTTAAAAAAAAAATACAATAAATGTAAAGATACACCTTATACAACTCACAGTTCAAGACAAAAACTACATTAAATGGTGTTTAAAGTGATTACAAGTATACAGAATTACATTCCATTATATACAACAATAATAGTAGATAATATAGAAATAAAAAGTATAAAATTTAAAAGTACATTCAAAGGTTTTTGATTTTATAATAAAATTTCAAAATTATTTCCAACAACATTTGACCATGGAATATTTTAATCAAGCAGATACTTATAAATATAAATGTCTGAAGACATTTTTCAAAGATGTTGATGAATTTTATTATTGCATCTAAATAACAGTTGTAACATAGAACTGCCAAAATGTTGGTTGGATTACAATATTAGTTTAAGTATTTTTTAATGGAAAAAAGAGTAAATAACAATATATGATAATTGATACATCACCAATTCATACTAATATGAATACTAATTTCATACTAATATAAAAAATCCATGTTATTTTGAATAATAAAGGATCTTCTTACAATTTGTGTATATTTTTATGTATATTCTTAATTATTTGTATATTCTTACAAAGACTTTTTATGAAACTTTGCCATTATTTTTAAGTTGTGACAATTTCAAACTGTACTGTTTTGATCCATATTCAACAAAGAACTTCATTCCACTCATACCATGGTAGGTTTAATAAAAAAAAAAAAAAATAAACACTGACAAAAAATGTTTAACAATACAAAACTTATTTAACAGAAAACACAGTTACAAACATTATTGGTAATACTAGAACAAACTTAGCCTATCTAAAACACAAATAAATTATTAATTTTGAATTGAAGATACACAAAGTCTTGTTTACCACACACCATAAAAATCAGTACATTAAAAATAAGAGTACGAGTAATTGTACAGTAACCATTCAGGATAACTATTAATATTGATCATTGTGCACTTTACGTAGTTATTCAAAACACACTACAGTACCTATGTGTTTTGTTAATATTTAATGATTTTTAAGATCACTTTTAGATGAACTTCAAAAGGAGGTGAATATAAGTGGACTTGAACAACAAAACCTAACAGAAGAATTAAAGGTCTCTATCATCCTCTACTTGTATAAATCTTCACTCATAGTAAAATTCGTTACAGTAAAATTCAATTTGAAAAGCAGACTTTTTGTCATGGTAAATAAATCACAGTTTAACTAACCTCCAATTTTGACCGAAAATTTCACATCAATAAAATCCACGTACCTAAATAAATAGTTTCTAAACGAAGAACACAAACGTATTTATCGATACGTACACTGTACATTCATTTTACTCTTTAGTATTGACTCCGACCGAATGTCTGGTCAATTTCCAATTGACCGCGAATAAGTCTATACGATACAAATCAAAGTTGACCACTTTAAGCAGCACATTGTGTAGTAAATAGTTCACGGTCTATGTACAGTTTTTTTTTCTAAAAATAGGAACGGCTATAAATTATTTAACTATGAAATCACTAGCTTGGACAGGAGAGGTGAAAGGTTTTACACTCTGAGGATCTCGAGGGCTTTGTTGTAGCAGATAGCGATCCAATCGGGCTGCGTCGCTCCCCACTGTATCTGGTTGATCTCTCCCTCGGCAGCCGTATAGGCGAGGATTGGATCCTCAATGGCTCTCGGCATCTGTTGAATGTCCCAGATAAGGGCTTGGTGGTCATCCCCTGGAAGAAAATAGGAAAATTGAATCAATGTTATAAGTATTTCTTGATCAATTAAACCAACAAATGAGGAAGTGATGGTAGAACGTAAAATCCAAAATTGTAGTTTGACCTGCAGACCTTTCACTATATGATGCATGTGAGGCCACAACAGTCTCAGATTATAGAAGATGATTAATTCCTAAAATAATTATAATAAAAATGCCCAACAATTATTAGCTAAAGAAAAATAAGATGATACTAAATACAGATTCAAAAACTAACCTTACAAATATTTATATTTATAATTAAATATTTATGTATATTGTGCATAAAATAATTGAAAAATATTGTATTTAAATTATGAGTGTAAGCTAATCTTACTAGTTTTAAAGTAAAACTGTCTGCGTTTTCCTTCAGTAAATTATCCAAGTAATTCACTTAGAATTTTTATGATCTTGATTACATTTTTGGTTAAGGTGGGTCCCTCTTTTAAGGTCAACTCACTTTACAATATTTTTTTTTAATCATTAATTTTGTGTTCAATATCTATCATAAATAACAGTAACAGCAATTATTATGATATGTGATGCCAATAATATAACTCCCAACACTAGATTGGTGCTTGAATAAAACAGGGCTTAACAAAGATGGTAGTAGATCCCCCAATTTTTTAAAAATTTATTTAACAACAAAATCTATATACAAAATATAATATATGTGTTTGTTACACTAATTTGAGAATTATAATTATAGAAATGTGCTTAGTCCACACCAAAATGTGATGCATTTGAAATATTGACTGGCAAGTCTTATACAAAGAGGAACAAACTCACCTGCAGTACAAATATGGCAGGATGAATGTGGAGCCCATGCGATGCCATTTACACATGCTCTATGATTGTTTAGTCTTGCTACAGGAGTACATGGTACCCGAACGTCCAAAATTATAACCTAAAACAAAAGTTTACTGAATTTCCTAACATAATAAAGTTAAGTATTATAACTCACACATAAGCTTTCTCAGGAGACATTTTGAACTGTAGAATAAAACGGATAGCTGCTAGCTTACCTTTTAGAAGTACATTAAGCCATAAGGTTGTTCAAAGGTTTATTGCGGACATTTTCCATCACGAATGTAAAAAACAATACACAACGTTTCGGGATCTGGAATCTGATCCCGTCTTCAGGTGAAAAAAACTTAACTAACACATTACAACTAACAATACACAAACGCCCAACCTAAGTTGGAATACACTACCGAGGGTAGTAGTCAAAAAATATATGCACTGTATAGCAGTCAAGTCATGATACAACATGCAATATCATGACTTGACTGCTATACAGTGCATACATTTTTTGACTACTACCCTCGGTAGTGTATTCCAACTTAGGTTGGGCGTTTGTGTATTGTTAGTTGTAATGTGTTAGTTAAGTTTTTTTCACCTGAAGACGGGATCAGATTCCAGATCCCGAAACGTTGTGTATTGTTTTTTACATTCGTGATGGAAAATGTCCGCAATAAACCTTTGAACAACATTAACTCACCATCACCAACAATGAACTTCAAACAAAGAAGCCATAAGGCATACAATATTTTGTTCCCAGGGGGACTTTGTCAACTGTAAAGAAAGTGATAGAGAGTTTATATAATGTTACAAATTTCTCAAGAGACAGGTGGTTAAGGCCAATCTGTTACAAAGTTGTGTAATGTGGTCATCCCAGCTGTGCTTGATAAGAGACAGGTGGTTAAGGCCAATTTGTTACAAAGTTGTGTAATGTGGTCATCCCAGCTGTGCTTGATAAGAGACAGGTGGTTAAGGCCAATCTGTTACAAAGTTGTGTAATGTGGTCATCCCAGCTGTGCTTGATAAGAGACAGGTGGTTAAGGCCAATCTGTTACAAAGTTGTGTAATGTGGTCATCCCAGCTGTACTTGATAAGAGACAGGTGGTTAAGGCCAATCTGTTACAAAGTTGTGTAATGTGGTCATCCCAGCTGTGCTTGATAAGAGACAGGTGGTTAAGGCCAATCTGTTACAAAGTTGTGAAATGTGGTCATCCCAGCTGTGCTTGTTAAGAGACAGGTGGTTAAGGCCAATCTGTTACAAAGTAGTGTAATGTGGTCATCCCAGCTGTGCTTGTCAAGAGACAGGTGGTTAAGGCCAATCTGTTACAAAGTAGTGTAATGTGGTCATCCCAGCTGTGCTTGTTAAGAGACAGGTGGTTAAGGCCAATCTGTTGCAAAGTTGTGTAATGTGGTCATCCCAGCTGTGCTTGTTAAGAGACAGGTGGTTAAGGCCAATCTGTTGCAAAGTTGTGTAATGCAGTCATCCCAGCTGTCAGTAGACTGAGCTTTGATTTGTCAGACCAAAGAGACGGACTGCTTTACAATCATTAGTGGATTGATCTTTTTCATTATCATGTCTTATTGTAATACACGGTAGGACCTTGAAGGCTAAGTTTGCAGTGTGTAAAACTAAAAACAGTATATGGTGAATTTGAACAATATTTATGTTTTATGAAAAATAAATATACGTGTTTTAGCACGGGAAGCGTGATGTGCCACGTTCAAGGTCACAGTGTTTCTGCAGAGTGTGGGAAAGTAGAACCGGCTGGTTACTGTATATCAACACAATCGGCAGAAATATCCTCTTCCTTTACGCAACATCAAATACCATCATACAGATATACTAGTCACCCGTCTTACCTCGCAGGCATCCATGGCTACTGTGGCTAGATAGTTCGGGTCTTGTTTGTTCCAAGCCAGCCGCAGCAAAGGAGTGTGTTGCGGGTCCTCATAGATGATTGTTGAATGTTCCAAATGGCGCAAGTCAAACATCCGTACTGACCCGTCCGCACCTATAGTTCCATCAAAAATCTCATTATTGCATTTTTTAAATTCATAGTCAATATTGTCTCCAGGGTTGATTTATAGCAGTAATAAATAGGTTTTTATGTTCCTTATGTCGTCAATCATATTAGTCACAGGCGACTAGTTTTATTTGGACTGGACTGTGTCATGATCGAACCGTAGCAATGTCTTTCTACGTGTGACAAAGGAGGGTCGGAAAAGTGTCATGGAGGGTTAGTTAAACATTTAAATTTTACCTCTCTTACATTAAGTTCTTATAGAGTGAGTGGCTGTTTGACTTACCGACAGAGGCAAACATATCCCTGCCCCCTCCGGCTCGACTGAAGGCGATATCATACACTTCCTTGTCATGGGCGATGAGTTGAGTCTTAACATGGCCTGCAACTAGGTTCACACGCCCTACAATCTGTTGGATGAAAAAATACGAAACATTTAATTTTTAACCATCTGGGATAGCAAATAGAAGTGGAATAGAAAGTGGAATAGACGGGGAATTCAATGTAAGACGATGAAGCATTCAAGCAATCATATTGAAAAGGGGTGCAGCAAGTGATTTACTTTTTGGTGTAAACATGGAGTCATGTGAAAGTTGGTAAGCTTCCTCATAAGAGGTCACTAAAAACAATAGGAAGGCATAATTATAACTCATAATGCTTCTAAACTCATTTCAAAGACCCATATTTGTTGACCCATTGAATTACCCTCAAAAGCTTTTTTTTACCTATTCAGTCAACAAGCTCTGTTAATGGCTTCACCCTTGAAGGCACTCTTATACCTTATTCACCGCAATCAATTTCCATTAATTTAGAAGTGAATTCAATACCTTTAAATTGATTTGAATTAAAAAATATATATATGAACTTTTTTTTTTGTTCATGACAGCTTAAATGGACAAACGATTTACCTTTAATTGTTGCCAAACTTTTGAATTCACAACACCAAAGGCTTGTTCTCGGCCAAGTATGGACCAATGCCAGTCTTTCACCTTTCATTGGGGTAAATTGGAGGATGGGACGATGGAGTGAAAGACAGAGAAACTATAAAAGCAATAAAACCGTCCAACAGCTTTTTAATTTAGTAGATGGAAAACTTTACGTATGCTGGTTATTACCTGGGCTGTTTCCAGACCCCAAATTGTACATGTTGTATCTATGCTTGATGTTCCAATAAGATTTGGGTCGACCTCGTTCCAGTCAAAGGATGTCAACGGTGCACAGAAGTCTGAATTTTTATTCTATGAACAAACCATTTAAGATTACCTATTTCAATTTTATGCATGAATTTTGTTGCTAGTCAAAAAAATAAAATTAGCAGAGTGTAATATAGATCAAGTTAACAGAATCCAGCCTTAACAGACTGATTAAATGAGTTTTGACGTCCTACTAAAGAAAATAATGAAATATGATAGGAATTGTATCAACAATTCTATAAATAATTTAAAACTTTGCTAAATGTCTTGTGATAGTAACAACTCACATTGTTTAGAACACACTCTAATCTAGTCTCTGGTTCTCCAGCTCTCCAAACTCTCAAGTAGTCTCCACTAGTAGCCAGTAGATCTGGGAACACCCCTTTCTGCAACATCATAAAACACATGCTTAAGGCGTCTGTTCCACTTGAAATGAATTTCACAGATCTTTATCATCATATAATATTTTGTGATGTTGATGGGGATCAGGACAAGGGGGTAACTTGGGTCTGGCACAAGGCAGAATCAAGGTGAAATTGCAGCATGTCATACCACAGAAAAAAAACCAGAGGTCATATTATACAGGGTGAATAAAAAGTCAAGACCCGCCTCTAATATTTTTCCAAGTAAATATACAGAGATATTCTTTTGGTGGTCGTGCAATCTTAGCAGGAAGTTTCATTTTATGATTTTGAAATATTTAAGTGTCCCCCCAAAAGGGGGGATTTGGGGGGCAACTCAAATATTTTAAATGTAAACCCCCTTCAAGTGACACCTCATTTTGAAGTGTTTACAAAAACTTAAAAGAATGGTGAAAACTAGAGATCGCTATCTCTTCTCTATCCAAAATGGTAGCCCGTCAAATGTTGTGGAAAATCAATGGTAAAATTGGATTGTAATGGTAATATTGGCTACCATTTTAGATAGAGAAGAGATAGCGAACTCTGGTTTTCACCATTCTGTAAGTATTTGTAAACACTTCAAAATGAGGTGTCACGTGATGGGGGTTTCTATTGAACAATTTTTAGTTTCCCCCCAAATCCCCCCTTTTGGGGGACACTCAAAATTTTTAAAATTAAACCCTTATTTAGTGACACTTCGTTTTGAGGTGTTTACAAAAACTTAAAGAATGGAGAAAACCATAGTCTGCACTGGGTGAAAACTGAAAACTAGAGGTCGCTATCTCTTCTCTATCCAAAATGGTAGCCAATATTACCATTACGAACCAATATTTTACCATTGATTTTCCACAACATTTGACGGGCTATCATTTTGGATAGAGAAAAGATAGCGACCTCTAGTTTTCAGTGTTTTCACCCTTCTTTAAGTTTTTGTAAATACTTCAAAATGAGGTGTCACTTGAAGGGCTACATGCTTTACATGGCTAACTAAGATCATAAGCTCTTAATTGTTGTGCTCATAAAAAGCAACACCGGCAAGGGGAGTGGTGTTGGCCTTTGCCCTAGACACCATTTAAGTCTACCATGGAGTGTATCCTCTTTCCCTTACTTTAATGTGTTTTAACTAAATGTAATTATTGGAATACTTAAAAAAAAATAATAAATTCAAAGATACTAAAATAATATTTTTTTTATTTTAATTTGGTGTCTGTACATGGTATGGACATTTTTAAAGATGTTTGTGGGGGAGCGGCGGTCTAAATGCTGGTCTTATAAATTAAATATACTCACACTATCTGGTATCCACATAATTTTTGTGGTTGGATACGGATGATCAAAAGTGCTTTTAGCACTGAAATCAGATGTGTCTTCATCTAATGAAACTATTAGAACTTTGTTGTTGTACTCTTCGACGAAACTTCCCAAAGCCAACCTTGAAACCAATTGAAACACAAATCAATTTTAGTCACACAAAAAACCTTTGAGAAATTTTAGGAGAGTCTGTCTATTTAGTCTGCCTACTTAAATAATATTATGTAGGCTTTTGCTATCTTATATAGAATAGGCTATTTGGAAACTTTTGATCTTTTAACTTTAATATGAAAGTACACTTGTGATAAAACTTCTTTTACAATCGAGGACCAAGCTTCATTATTGTGAGATTGGTAACATAGCCATTCAGTTTATTGTTCACAACAATTGATTGAGACATGTTTTAAAAAGAAAGCTTGATTAAGGGATCTAAATAATAGATGTATTTTAAATCTTTTTATCTTAAGTTTAAAATAGTTTCGCTTTAAGATAATCTTTAATGGGAATACTGTATGGAATATTTATAGTTTAATGCCATCGTTCACACTTATTCAACTTTCTACTTTTTTAAACCTTCGACATTCAGTTAAGACATCATATTAAACCCACCTATCACCCTAAGTGGGCAGACTTTGCTATTGTTATGCTTAATGAGATTGATGGCCAAAAGGTATGAAAAACTTTGTTCTTTTCCCTTCAATATCACAAATTGTTTAATTATTGTTAATAGTCCCCAAGAAAAGGCCAATCAAAATCCTGGTATTCATTTTTGGAGACCCTGTATTATGAAACACTTTACACCATAGATCTATTCTGCAATAAAGAATCACACAGATATTAAGATTGCAATATTAAGCTTCATTCATGTCAATAAAATATCTATGTGGTTGTTCAAAATCAATTCAGTAATTCAATAAAATTTAAATGTTATGTTAAAACTACAAGACAAAAACATTGTGTAATATTTAACTCCCGCACAGAATGGCGGGAGACTAAACAGGTAAGTGTCACGTTCCTTGTAGTATCAACTTAAACAAAACTGTATCTGATTACTTACCTAAATCGTTTATCAGGCCGAACAGACCAGTTCATGCTGTAGAGAGGCCAGGGGGCCTCGTACTTGTAAATCTCTTTTCGTTTTGGAGTTGCATTGTGCACCGCCATCGTCAATCGACTTAAGGGTTCTAAAAAACAGATGGGAGAAAAATCAGTTTATGAAAACTATTGAGGACCTCATTCATCTTAGTGTGTCCTGAGTTGAAACCAAACATGTAACCAGTTTTACAGGAATAAGTATCAAGTGATTTTGAAAAATAAACTTAATTTTTACACTATACTAAAAGTAATAAACAAACATTTTCACTAAGATATGTAATTGTTCTAAGACTCTTAATGGTATTAAAAAATCTGAAACTTTAGCTAAAATGATCAATAGTACACGCACCTCAACATCATTAACATTCTACTGAAATTGAATGTATTCAATATGCAAAAGAAAAATGTCATCATAGTTTGAGACTGATGCAAGGAGTGTGTGTTTAAGTTACTTTGGTACAAAAACTTAAGGTTACAACTGAATGAGAATTGTAAAATAATTATTTGTAAATTAAAGTTTACGTTCAGTTTCCTCAGTTGTAAACTTTTCAAGTTTAGTTTAGGTTTTCTCATTCTTAATGTCAGGTTCACTTTAGTTTTTTTTCAGTTAACTATTATCATCAAGTTCAATTTAGGATTTTACAGTTTCATCAGCAGGTTCACTTCATTATCAGGTTTCTTTTTGGTTTTTTTAGTATAATCATCGGGTTCTTTTTTCGGGGTTTTTCATTATGATAATCAGGTTCACTTTTGGATTTTTCAGTATCACCATTAGGTTCGCTTTCGTTCTTTTAGGACCATCATCAGGTTTTAATTTCGGTTTTTTCAGTGTCATCATCAGGTTCAATTTTCAATTTCAATTTCTTTATTAATTGAGAAGTATACATAATACAGCATTTGAATAGTGTCAAAGATTACAATTATCAAAATATAAAATACAGATTAAAAATAAATTTTAAATTAAAAAATACATTTCCCCATACAGATGCCTTCTTAATATCTAGTATTCTTGAAGGAGGTGGAAAAATTCTTCTTGAGAATAAATTGCCATGTTTATTATGAAATGTTTTTGTTTTGTTTTAAACTTTTTTGGATCTTTTCATTTCTCATTCCTCCGGGGATATGTTAAAAAAAAACTTTTGCCAGCAAATGATGGTTTTTTTTCATAAAAGTTTAATCTGTGCATATTTTGCAAAATCTGATTTTTTTTCCGTTTCATATCGGTGAACCGGTAGACTGGATACATCGGATGAGGTTTTATTTAAAAAAATTAAAATTGAATCATAAATATATTGCCCATAAACAGTTAGCATGTTTAGCGGTTTAAAGTGCTCTTTTGCAGAGACATCAGAATTTAGTCTGAGCATTACTCTCACTGCTCTTTTTTGATGTTTTAATATTTTATCTAGATTGATTTGAGTTGTTGCTCCATATAGACAGATACCAAAGAAAATATGTGAATGGATATATGCATAGTAAATGTTTTGCAAAGTTTTGACATCACAGTACACAGACATTTTTGAAAGGGCAAAAATTCCAGAGTTGACTTTTGAAACTATTTTTTTTTGTATGATCATTCCAATTCAAATTTTAATCTATTGTTAGACCCAAAAAGTTTGTGCTGGTCTTTTGCTCAATAAGTTGTGAGTCATACATTATTATTGGGTGATTGGAATTTTTATTTTGTGGTGTTTTAAATGTGATAAAATTTGTTTTTTTTTGTTATTTAATTTTAGGTTTTGGCACACCAGATAACTGCCCAAATTTCCAAGTTCTAGGAAAGCAGAAATTTCCGTTTGTTCCAGTGTAGGAGAGGAAATCATTAAATTAGCATTGTCAGCATACAGGCACAGTTCACTTTTAGGTCTAATCAAATAACATAAAATCAAAATAATCTTTATTCATTTTTATATACAATATTATGTATACATAAATGGTGTCAATATAAAACTATTACTAAACTTAATGACTATCATAGTGTTGCTTAGTTTTTATATGGAATTCATTAAAACTATAAAATGCACCTTCAATTAGAAAAGATTTTAAAACATTTTTAAAATTGCCAGAGGTTATTTTATTTTTAATTGAAATTGGTAGGTTGTTAAAATGTTAATCCCAGTATAGCTTGACTTCTTTAAAAAAAAACTCTTTGTTATGTTTTGTAATTTGAAAATCATGTCTTTGTCTAGTATTATATTCGTGTTTGTTGAGATTTTTTGATAATGTGCCAATTATGTTCTTTATATAGAGAATAGTGTTAAAAATATTAAGGCTGTAAAATGTCATTATCCCTAATTCTGAAAAATAAGTTTTACAAGGAGTGTCTTAAGTAAGTTTTAACATAGTTATTTCATATCGGAAATTTTGCAAACATAAAATTTTATTCATGTTAAAATTTTGAAGTAGCGCCATAGACTTCAATGCCATATGTTGTATGTGAATGAATTACTGAATAATAAACCGATTTAATTGTTTTCAAATCACAGAAAGTTGACAGTCTCTTTATAGCAAAAATCCCAGAACTTATTTTAGAGCAGACTTTATCAACGTGAACTGTCCAATTAAGAGAACAGTCCAACGCTAAACCTAAAAAATTAGTATTTTCATAAAGGTTGAAAGGTGGCGCTGTTGAAGTAATAGATTTTGACTTCCTGCAAGAAAATTTAATAATTGTTATTTTATTTTGATTAATTAATAAATTTAAGCTATTTAGCTGGTCATTAATTATATTGATTGCAGTGCCAATTTCAGAAAAAAACTTTATTAATATTTCCGTCAGAGATTGTTCAATTAATATCATCGGCAAAAATACTGAAATGGTTATTTGCTGTAAGTGTATGTAGACAGTTTGGTAACTTTCCCAAATAGCAAAGAAACAAAAATGGTCCAAGGACAGAACCTTGTGGTACAGAATAGTTGATAGATCTGGTTTTTGAATTGATTTTAAAAGCTTCATTATTCTCAATGTGTGATATTTCTACATACCGTATTGTTGGTGATCTGTTAAATAGGATTCCAACAAAGCTAATTCTTTACCAGATATACCAAAGAAAGTTAATTTTTTTAATAAAAGTGAATGGGAAACACTATCAAAAGCCTTTGTTAAATCCAAAAAAGCAGCTACTGATTGGTTACCTTCATCCAGTTTGTTAATCAAATTTTAAACAAAGGCTATTACAGCTGTTACAGAGGATTTGTTTGGCCTAAAACCATGCTGTTCGGTGTCTAACAAATTATTATTTTCAAAATATTCTGTCAATTGTAATAACATGTATTTTTCAAGGAATTTTGACCAAGAAGGTAGAATTGAAAGAGGCCTATAATTAGATGGTTCATTTTCGTTTCCTTTTTTATATAGTGGAATTATTTTGGATATTTTTAACTGAGAAGGAAAAACACCTGAAATGAGGGATGCATTTATAACATGAAGAAGTGGTTTGAGAATCGCCCACTTTGCATCTTTAATTATTTTTGTTGGGATATCATCACACCCAGTGGACCATTTGCTTTTGATTGAATTTATTATTTGAATCAACTCTTCTTCTGAAATGGTTTTGAACCTAAAAGTATGATTAGTTGAAACTGCATTTGTTATTGGTCTATTTATTATTCTCTTATTCATTTTAATTTCAGGAATAATTATATTCTTTACAAGGTCAGCATACAAATTATTCAGTATGTAGACTACTTTATATGGATCAGTGACACATTTACCTTGGTGGTTTAAAAATAGCTCTGTTTTTGATTGATCATTGCTCCTGTACAGTTCCTTTTTAACCAATTGCCAAATAGCTTTTGTATATTTTGCTTCTGATTTATTTATTATATTTTCAAAATATTGCTTTTTCTTTTGTATTATAAGATTTCTGTATTTCCTTTTTTGCATTTTTAAGTTATATTTTACACAAACATTTTTATTTCTCCTTTTTTGTCTATAATTATCTATGAGCTTAGTCCGTTCATGTTTTATTTCCCAATCAGTCCAATTTATTCTTTGGGGGTTACTTCTAACATTTATTTTTGGAAAATTTTTATCAAAATGATGAATATGAATGTTGTTATGAATATGAAAATTTGTTATCGATTGGTGTTTGCTATAGTTTAGCCCAATTTTCATTTGTCAAAATCATTCACAAAATTTTCAATATTTGTTTTTTTAAAACAAAGTTTCATTTCCCACAACCTTATATTTTTATTTTATTTTTGACATTATACAATTCAAGAATTTGCCCATCGTGGTCAGAGAGTGCAGTTACAACACAAATTACCCTTACATATGTCTTAGTTATAGGCTGCAACAATATAGGCCTATTCTGGGACAGATGTTTGTGGCAGTATTATATCATCTGTTAGCAACCAGTTGTAGCATTGACTTTATATACCTTAGTCAATGGTTGTAGTTAACAACTATTTAGCTATAGGAAATGGACACACAATACTTATCAATTGGGAAAGATAAGAATCCTGACCTAGGTTTAGGCTAGTGAAGCAATTAAACAGGTTAGTTGTGTGAGTAATCTATTGCATACTAGTTAGTGTTCAGATCAGTTGCTATATAAGATTCTTGGTCTCCTTATTTTATTAACTATCCTTCTTGTATTTTAGTGGATTTTCTACATTTCAATAATTATGGTAAGTCACTTGTAATGACAAGAGCAGAGCTAGTAGTCTATCTAAGAGCATGCACGGTATTTACATAGGTAAATAATCTTTAAAAACTGGAATTATTCTAAACCAATGCAAAGTTGATGATAAACAAATTTTGTTTCTTTATTTGTCCTCAGTCTATTATTTGAGGAAATATATTTGGTGAATAAAACCACATCAACATACTTTTAAGAAGGCAACATTTTGTGTCCCAATAGTCTTACGAGGTATTAGATTCCGGTCTGAATTTAGTTAGTTACTTCAATATTATGTTTTGACCTTTTTTTAGCTACCACTTCCTTTGCACTAAAATTTTTTTCTTCATTTAACAATTAATTGTGATCCTCTGATGGTAAAACTTGCTGTTACAGTATTCAGTCTGTCCTAGGGTTTCTATGTATAATTATAATTTGTCAAAATCTGAAAATAATATTGAAATTGAAAGGCTACAGATTTACAAATTTTACTTTTATTTGATTTTCAAATTATTTAAAACAAAATCAAAATAATTAAGCACTACTTAACCATGCCTGAAATGAGGTTAACTTTGGCCATAAACTTTAAAGACTTGAGGAAAATAATAATACCAAAATTGTTTATAATTTATATAGCAAAAATAATCTTTAAAACTTTAACAATCACTGCAATACTTCCATCCAAAAAAATACTCAAAGACAACAATTAAAAATCACTTTTGTTGGAGAGCACAAAATCACTGCATTTGTGTCAGTGTTAACCTCAAACATGAACCTGTGTTAACTTCCGTTTTTTAGTATTCCCATCAGTTTCACTTTTGGCTTTTTCGGTACGGTATTATCGGGTTCATTTTTAGTGTTTTCATCACGTACAATTTTGGATTTTTCAATATCATCATTAGGTTCGCTTTCAGATTTTCGAGTATTATCATCAGGGTCATTTTTTGGGTTTTCAGTGTTATCATCAGGTTCACTTTAGACTATTTTAGCATCATCATCAAGATCACTTTCGGTTTTTTTTTCAGTATTATCATCAGTATCACTATTCGTCATACATTCATGTTCACTAACAAAGATTATTATAGTCTTAACATCAAGTTTAAATTTTTCTGCCATAACATTAAGTTCAATTTCCTTTTTCATGGCTTCAGGTTTACTTTCAGATCTGTCTGTATGATCATCACATTCTTTTTTGTTTTTTGAATTATAATAATCAGGTTTACTTTTGATTTTTTTCAGGATCATCATCAGGTTCACTTTCGGGTTTTCCGTGTCATCAGGTTTACTTCCGATATTTTCAGTAAACGGTATTATCATCAGGATCATAAATTCAGGTTTACTTCTAGTTTCCTCAGTCTGGTTACTTCAGGTTTATTTTCAATTTCCTCAGTCATGACTTTAGGTTTATTTCAGTTTCCTCAATCTTAACTCCAGGTTTACTTTGCTGCAAAACAGTGTGTAATAAATAAAGAATTTTCTCTCT